TCTTTTTACATAGATAAAAATGTAAAAACTTACAGAAAGCTTTTCGTGGTTAGTTCCTACAGATTAGTTACTTCTCATGATTTCAAACATATTACATAAAAAAGAGATGATTTTCACTCTTGGATACATTGACCCTTCAAAAATAGCATAGTATTAACATAATAAAAAATAACTTTCTCATAAACACCACTGATAAAATATTGGTTCAAAACAAATAATACTTATCTCATATAAGATTCTGAGGTATCCCAATTTATTTAAAAATAATATATATGTATTGGTAATTGCTTTAGAAAGGCAAAGAATATTACCATAGTGTACAAATATATAAACAAACTTAAATACCTGTTGCCACTATAGATTCTAATCCAAAATTTAGAAAGTATTTTAGTGTAATAATTGTAGACAGCCAGAAAATTTGAAACGAAGTTAAAAGAACATGTTTCATGGACAATACACACTTTTGTATTGGTTAACTTTTAATTCTAAACAGTCAACATTTTGAACCACTAGTTGGCCATATCTTGTATTATCAATAAAATATTGAAAAATTAAAACAATTTAGAAACTTGACTCGCCGATCAAGCAGTAGTGGAGAGAAGCATCCTTTTGTATCTGTTACTAATGTAACTCTCTTTTATAATGCTAGTATAGAAATTTATCACAGTATCATATATTAATTGATATTTGGGTTTACACTCTCTCCCACTCTCTGCCTCTGCCTCTCGGGATGTGTGTACCTCTCTCTCTCTCTCTCTCTCTCTCTCTCTCTCTCTCTCTCTCTCTCTCTGTCGCTCTCCTTCTTAGTCTCTCTCTCCACTAACCTTTCTTGTAATTCAGGAAATTTTTATCGCATTTTCAGAGGTTTCATAGAACCAATAATGAACATATGTATGTGGGTGCGAAAGGGAAATAGATATTAAAATAATCCATCTCCATTTCTTGACGTCAGTAACGCATTTCTTTAACGTAGAACCCTAGGTAAAATAGACATTCTGTAGCAGATTGGATATTGCAAATACTTTTTATGACACCGGAGCGAATATTTTATAGCAATTCATGGCAAAAATGTTAGTTGATAACTGTATTCATTGTTCAACTTTTATGTATATGAGTAAGGACGGATCCCAGAGTTCATTTTTCGCATGAAGTAAATAAATACGTAAAACCACTATATTATTTGTTTATTCTGAAAGATTTACTATTTCCGAACAAGAAATTTCTGGTCTTAACCAATTAAATGGACAAATTTATTAATTAAGGAGAAGTGCAAGGACTATCAGAGGGAATCCAAAAATGTATATTGGAACACATTTGTTGTTTTTTTCCCAAAGTTTATAGAAAATACGATAGACTCAGATAATAACTTTGTATCAATAGTTTTAACTGGCGCATATATTTATATGGAATAGGATGCGTCATTAATTGTATATTTCTCATCTGAAGAAGAGGGCAGTCTCAGTTATAAAGAATTATTAAATATATTTACACTTCAAAATTGTACATATTCGCTCTTATCATCTACATTTTTGTTGTGAAATTTCAGTTTTAAAAATAATGGGGCTAAATAGCACACACTTTCACGAAAAAATACGCGAAAAGTATTCAAAGTTTCGAAAAACTGTAAATTATCTTATTTCAAAATATATCTTTGAGGAAAATTAAAGAAAAATATCTATTTGCATAATTGTAGATGTAGGAAGACCCCGAAAAAATTTTTTGCAATTTTCAAAAAATCAGTTTTCAACAAAAACGAGACCTGCACCATTATTTAAACGTTCTTCACACTATTCAATTACAAAATTTAATCAAAAACGATGCAACTGTTTTTTTTAGTTTGGAAATGTTCCAGTGGGCTTCATGTAAAGTACCCCAAAATTAAAATATAGGTGTCAAATTCAAAGGGCTGCGACATCAGCCAGATCGATTGCGGAAAATCATTTTTTTTAGAAAATCGACAGAACGTTTTAGCCTCTAGCGTCGTTCGCAGACGGATTGAAAGAAAGGCGTTTTTGCCGCCATTCGATTTTTCGGTATCAAGGTCCCACAAAGTATGAATTCTGGAGAAGCCACGTGTTAGAGGTTTTTTAAAATTTAGCATATGGATTTATTCACGTTTCGTTACCAGGGTAGTATAACAAACGTTTTCCTGACAAAAATTCGCTCGCCGTTTTCGTGCGCAGCGTTATGTACATGTCTCTAATGCGTAAGTGGTAGCGAGATAATAATAATAACCCTGTGCTTTTACTTTTCCTCGATGTTTCTACTTTGTAAGCAACGGACACCTTAATGTACGATTATCTAGAATGAGCCTTATGAGGTGTATCAAAAATTGTTTAGTTCAATAAAAAAAAAAGTATGATAGCACATATTTTCTCGCATTATTTCGCTTTTACAATCTTTGCTTTTTTGAGCTCAACGAATATGAGACCTTCACCATGTTTTAGCGCTTCTTTTGTTCTCATCATTTTTAAACATTTTTTTTTAATTCGCGGATTTTGAAAAAGTACGCAAAAAGTATTTGTACAGATTATATATAAGATAAAAATATCCTTTTTCATTAAATAAAATCTGTATGAATACTTTTATACGAATCTTGTAGTTCATTGATGAGTTTTGTAATTTTTTGAAAATACTGAGAAATTAAGGGAAAAATCTTAAATATTTTTCAGAAAATAACCGATATTCCATGCCTTTAAAAAACATATTTTTTTACAAAGGAATCTCTATCTTCAATATTATATTTGTAGGAAGACGACAAAATTTGTTTAAACGTTTGTAATTTTGGAAACATCAGGAATTTCATCGAAAACGAGACCTGCACCATTCTTTTAAGCTTTGTATATGTTATACGAATAGAACGTTTAATCACAAAAATTGGAACAATTTTTTAGAAGATTTTGAAAATGACGCTTCATTGGGTTACTCCCGAAAATGAAAATATCCATTTCAAACATGCTTGGATTGGTCAGATCAATCGTGGAATATCAATTTTGAAGAAAATCGTCTAAACGGGTTAGACACTAGCCCTGATCTTAGACTAACGTCAACCCACACGGACACAGACAAAAGACACAAGCAGGTAGGCAGGCAGACAATGCAATTTTGCCATTAATCGTTTCCATGAACCCACAAAACGGGGATGTTAAGTCCACATCGTATTTTACCATGTATACCGAGGTTGGGGCAAAAGTCATAGCACGTTGTTGCTATGATTTTTGCCTTTCGTAGTATGTATTAACTATTGTATACTTTGTGCTATTGGACTCATTGTACTATTAGCGTTCACATTATTATTACACAAGTAATTTATTGTACAAAGATACAATATTTATTCACTTTTAGTCTACCAGGGCCAGGCAATAAGACTTTTTTTAGAAGTTTCCGAGAACATTTATAAGCCGTACTGATTTTTTCCTAGTACTTTAGTGAAAATTGCAGCTAAATATAATATGTATTTCTTACTTACGTAACATAATGTTTAATTTCATAAGCAACTGGGAGTTGTGTCATGTATTTATTACTCGCATTTATTCTAATCCATAACTTTTAATTATGAAAAAATATAATTAAAAAATATATTATCACCACACTTTAAAGTGCAGCAAGGAATGAAAATTAAATAATTTAAGAAGCAATACATTTTTTATTTTAATATAAGGACACTGCCTGTCGAGTCAGTACAGTCGATACGGAGAAGCCAGAAGTTTTATTACGTATATAATGTTATTTTTAATTATGTAAAGTTAAGTTATTATATTATGTTAGTATTGTGTTAAATTATGAAATTATTTGAAAATATAATTTCACCCATCACAAATGTAATAATAAAAGGATTACGACCAAACACTATCAATCTACATACCTCCACTGGAACATCTATTGCAGTGGGGAGTTAATGAAATTTTCATGGTTGTGAAACTAGAGAACGAGTAACTTGATTCGATTGCCAGCAGACAGCTGGATGAGCGATGACGTAGTTCTCTTTTTCAAGAATTAAATTAAAGATCGTAATTCAAGTGTGTTGTATAGTACTAGTACAGACGGAAAGGAATTCGTAGTTTAGTAGTCTGTTTCCGTGAATTTAAGTATATTTATTCGCGATGTTCATTGTTACAATATCACCAGTCATATAATTAAACTTTCATCTAGGTTTAAAATATTGTTTTATGATAGTTTTTTCGACAGGTTTCCTGGCCTCTTCAGTGTGAATCAGAAGATATTTAATAGAATATTGCAACTAAGTTATATTTAAAACCAGCGATGAAATTATACAAGGAACATTTTTGGATTATATAATTTATCATATAATCATCTAATTTTTTATTATAACGATGTACCATTTTAAAAATGTTCCCCTTCATTGGATATTATTATTTTATAGTTTGTTTTGTTTTTTGTTTTTTTGTTTTTACAAGGATGTAAAATTCTAGTTTGTGTGTTCTCAACCTTAACAGATAGGTGATCATTCAGTTTCCCTTATCAATTGAGCAACTAATGAGTTCACTCTTGTTCTGTTTGTGAACAAATATATGGCTTTACTATGCGCGCGTTTTGTAGAGCTCTTCTTTAGCTAATAGTAGAACGTGAAGGGCCATTTTGTTAGCAAATACAATAAATAAAATGTGTAGTTCGTTTTCGACGCAAATACGTTTTCTATAACTCAGAAGCGAAAATGTGTAGTTTTCAAATCTTGCTAACCGCTTGTAAGTACTTTTATTCATCATTCAATTATTTATGGGGGTAGGGTGGAGAAGAGACTCTGAAGCTCGGTAAAACGTGCGCATATTCTGCTTCTCCCCTACGACACTGTGAGGTCAGGAAACATCTTGGCTAAAAGTCAGTTCTGTTTTAAGCTTAATAGTGTGTTAATCATTTGACATGTGATATCGTGGCAGTCAACTTCGTAAACAAATTAATGAGTGAAAAACAGGAATTACTTCATTTATTGCCAAGTTTATGTGTATAATTATATAGTACACGAACAATTCGTTTTCCAGGTACACCGATATGAAATTCACCGCTGTAATCTGAAGCCGAGTACACCAACAGGTGTATTCATTTGTACTGAGGGTACATCTCATCGACGCAAAGCACTTCTGCGCCAGATCGCTGCAGGGGCAGCATGGGGTCTGGCCAGTCGACTTCGGGTGGACCCTCGTGGCTCGCAACCTTCCTGAGTACTCCTCATACGTGGGCATGGCTCCACATCGACCCCATTGACGCCCTACTCGCCAACATAATGCGCCTCGAAGTTGGCGACCTACTCCATGACCTGGTAGTGGACGACGCCATGGATGACATCCAAGACGACCTCATGGACGAAGACACGGCAGGCTCCTCATCAGATGAAGAGGACGGCCCCAACATGCTGGAATACGAGCCAGAGGAGGAGTTAGACCAAAGGGATGTCGAATTGCACGATTTTATCGGACAAGAAATGACACGAGCTGCGCGCATGTTCAGGCTGAAGCTTTTGGTGGTGTGCGTTCTGATGTGCACGAACCTCGGGAAAGACTTTTCCCAAGATCCCAACCCCTCTTTCTCGGACCTGATGGGCTGGACGAGGCCTAAAAAGGAAGTGGACCCGTCTCCTTTTTATACGTCGCGAATACCGCGTCTTTTTGGGACTTTAGAGCCGATGGGAGATCTGTCGCAATATTTCCCAGACTTAGTGTGCAAACCGGAGTACCCGGTGTTGTTTGGGTATCCGCCGATCGTATGCTATGAAGTGAATTCGACGACCGACCCCTTGTATAATGGCACAGCTTCAACCGGAAATTCTTCTTTTCTGAAAACCTATGATGAGCCAATATCGGATTATATTCCACCTGCCATCGAGCCATTCCGTCGCCGCATGTCTCACGCAAAGAATCAACCGAGGAAGAGACTGATAGTGGTGCATGTTCATGCCACCTATCGTAGAAATACCACGCGTCATGTGAAAGATGAACATCTCCACTTATAGCATATGTTAAATAAGTGAGAAAGTACCCTTTGGAAGTTAATGGCTACCACTGGGTTCACATCTTAAACTAAAAACTACTGTCTTGTCCATTCCTCAACTAAAATTTTCCATAATAAACTTACAGCTAACCTACCCTATTACTATTCATATTAAAAATCTGTACACGTAATCCACGCAACTACTAACCGATTTTTTAATGTATGAACTAAATACGTCATGATGAACTAATGCGTACAACTGGCTGGTACTAATCTTGTTGATCTCTATACATATATATCATGATGAATTATGTATCACGTAATTACAAGTTAACATAACCTATGGTTGTTAGTTAACATAACCTATTGTTACTAGATATTCAACAGAACGTAAGACTTCTAACAGATAACACTTTTTCCATTATATGGAAACATTCTATCAATGACTGAAATAATATGCTTTTTGTTAAACATCTCATCAGTGTACTAAACTCTATTTGTCGATAAGTTTCATGTTTGAGTTCCCGTAAGTTTTAGATCTAAAAATAACCAGGTGTTAAACCAAGAAAGGAACCACATACCAATGTAACTAAAAGAAACGCAAGTGAATAATATGTAATATCTACCAAATAAACCAAATTAACTGTGTATTTATATTTTCATTACATGTAATTCTTCCCGCTCCTTACTTATTCTACTATAGAATATTATAACGATCCACTAACTGGCGACCCTAGGATATTAATTTGCCGCATTTCTCGTCCACCTGACTCTGTCTGGTTCCCACGCCACCTACTGCGGCCGCTATGCCCCATTAAACAAAGTTTTGTATTCAGGTGTCCAGGGAGAAAACGTCGAAACTCCGAAAATTAGCTTTGAAGACAATTTTAAGGCTTTTATTTTAATATATTGGCTAATAAACTCATTGAATATTCCGAATGGCTGGGCCGCAATAAGCACTCAAAAAGGACGTTCTGTGCAAAACTGTGCATTTCAGAAGCATATACAGATTCCAGAAACATGTAAATAGTGAATTATTTACAAAATATTGTTTTAAAATTTTATTTTAATTCCTACCCGTCCGGCTCTTCAGGCCTTTCGGAGGTTATTAATTACACAATATACATTGCGATAAGAACATAAGTCTCGTTCAGTTACCTCAGGGCACAAGTACACATACTTGAGCAAATGTTTTAATCTATGTACAGTTCCTATTTACATTTAATACAAAAATATAACTTTGAGAAAAATGCCAAACTTGTGAATAAAACATTTATACAGTTATGACAATCACATATAATATTTACAACCATACCATCAACAAATGATGGCGACTTTAAGCTATCTTTTGGAAAGCGTGATAATATTCTGGATGGTGCAAAAACGTTATGGCCAAGGTAGAACGTTCTTTTGTTAACATTTAATGAATGTATTTAAATCATTTTGTAGGTATTCCAAGGAAACAATCAGTTTTTCGTATTGTGAGAAAGTGGCAGTCTCATATACGAACAAGGGTATTTGCGTATCCGTTAATTCCGTAAAATCGGCAACGTAAATTTTGAATAAAGTCAATGACAATGAGGATTCTTATGGAACTCCAGCTGTGTTTCGGTATATATCCGACATGGTATTTTAATGTTACATTATCTTTTTAGCAGAAAACTTCCACTTATATTTTGAAGATTTTGGAAATGCCTTTATGGCGGAATTTGTATTTCAGTCCTGTGTGTCAGATACGATCGAACACTTTAGTAACATAAAAAATAACGCTACTGTGTACTTTATCTCATGAAAACCCTTTGCAATGAAATCCGTAACTTTTAAAATTGGGAGTTTAATAGAGTAATTTGCTCTAAAGCTGAACTGGGCATTAGGTGGTATGGCGTAGCCTGTAAGAATTTATATAACCGGGATAAATCCAGCCTATCAAACACTTTACCTAAAGAAGGTAATACGTTAATTGGGCTGTAACTGTCTAGGAGACATTTAATAGGTTTGTTTATTGAAATAATTTTTCCATTTTTTTCAATTGCTTGGGTAAGTCTTAAATCAGCATTTAATTTTATTACTATTTCTTCACTAGCGGATTTTGGATTTTTGAAAATATTAGAATAATTATGTGAATTATTTAGAAAATAAGAGAATGAGTCTGAGTCTAATAGAGTTCGTAACACTTCATTGTTGTCGCTAGGTGGTGATTCTAGCCACACAGGTGGATACAGATTAGCGCGCTTAATGGTGATATTTAGTACTGTAAATTTGAATCTTTACACTCATGTTCTTTCTTATTAAGTTAATCGACATATTATGAAGGTTTTAAGATGCACTTAAATATAAAATCCAATATTTCAAAAATACCAATGTGCAGTCGGTTCAATAGTTCACCCATCCCCTAAGAAATTCAGTACCTTTTGAGATTTTCCCCAAATTGTAACAAAAATCAGCATTTTACACATTCAAACATACCTGCGTTTTAAGCATTTACAACAAAGTATTTGTGTTAAAAATCAATTCAATTTTTTTTACTAAATATTCATCTCTTATATTGTAATCTCTATTCATCTCTAAATATTCAAATCTGTTCAAATTTGTGGGTACTAAGTATTAATGACGTGAATATAAGTACATACAATGGCAGTTCTCACGAATGCTTTTTAGGAAATGGTTTTGAAAAATTATAATTCAAGGAATGAGTAATGAACACATGATCATGTGAGTTCCAAATCTTCCCCGGATGAGTGAGATTCTGACAGAGTGCAGCCCTATAAGAGTTTCTTCGCCAAACTACACGACGGCTTGCGGGGTTTCCCCCAAGCAGGTATCTTTCACCAGCGGGGCACCGCCCTGGGACAAGCTCCTGACCCGTTTCCCGACATGCGTGGGAGTGTAGAAAATGTAAGTAAATGAAAGGGAGGAGAAGAAAATAGGAAGGAAATATCGGGGGTTGTCCTTGGCCCGTTTTTTAGGGTACTACTTCGGCAATCACCTGGTATTGCTCGGAGAATCCAAAGAAAGTTCAATTGCCCCCAGAAGTGCCGAGTTTACCACGCCGGTATGTAGACTGTGCGGGTACATTTTGACACGCCTTCCACAAGTACATCAAACACTTGCACGCAATTCAGGTACAGTAAGCTCAGAGAGGAGAAACCAGATGGGAAAGGCCCGTCGAGAGAATACAGTTGTGGATTTGCGAACCGGATGGCAAGGTAAAACTACGAGACTGCGGAGACACAGGAGGAGCGATAAAGAACTCCGGGGTGAACGCAGCTGACGCGGTGATGAATGGCGGGGACCTCAAGTTCTCCCAGAATAAACTGGAGCGCGGGCGCGAGATCTGAGGAGAAATTGATTCGGGACTGACTGCTGGTGATTAATAGATGACAGCGAAGCATGGAGGCGGTTCACTGGAGGAGGAATTTGGGCGACGGGTGACGGGAGGGAGGGTGGCTCGGAGAGGGAAGGGAAGGCGGAGAGGACGGACAGTAGCTAAGCGAGGAGGATGAGGAATAACTGGCGTGGACATCAAGAAGAGTGGGAGGTTGGCACAGATAGTGGAGGGAGAATAGTGCGAAAGGTGATAAGAATAGGAAGGTTGTCGTGGCAGGGGTGTAACAAGGGCTGCTAAGATAACACGGTCAGGGACAGAGGCCAGGGGGAGGGTGACGAGGGCACGGAGCAAGAGAGAGATGGAGACAAAGGCGAAAAGTGGGAAGGATGAGAAGGGATGAGAGGATTAGGGGAAGGGGTGAAGTGAGCAGAGAAGACTGGGAGAGGGGAGTGGTGTATGGATGGAGGATGGTAATCGGAGGGAGTGGGGAGGAGCAGGATATAGCGGATATAGACATAATATAATGGGAATCAACGTATGTCTGTCGCTCATAGACGCAAAACGGGGGCGTTGTTGAAGATGCTCTATGATGACACAAGCGACACTGAACGCAACTGACTAAGCAACCCGGAGCGCCCTCAAATATTAAACGCTCTTCGCTGCATATTGTGCCCTTGCGATTGAGAAATATCGACCAAAATTATTTCTTGTACGTTATCTCGTACAAGTACATTAAATGTCTTCACGACAGTGTCATAGCGAATGCATACACAACCTATAGAGAGAACGCTTTAACACAGAATGTGTGAAGTATAATACATTGCAATAGCGAAGCAGGCCGAGTCCACGAGAGTAATATAAAAATATATAAAATTGTAAAAAATATATGAAATTGGTCTTAATTAGAATGCAATTTATATTGGTGTAAAAGCTTTGCACACTGTTGTGTCTTTATGTATTCCGTACTCGTAAGGAGGCGACAGAAGCCTGTCATATGGACAATAGTCTCAGTGATAGATTTGACACTTGCCGCATTTGTCTTCAGAGATTTTTTAACGACTTTTCTGTAGTTTTTGATTCGCAATACTCTATATTGAATGGCCATCATGAATTCTGTAGTTTTTCCAAAAATACTTCCTTTCTTAAACCAAAGATTGCTTGCTTCTCCATCAACCCTATCATTTCCAGTTCGTTAGCATATTTTCCATGTAGTGCTTTTGATTTACATTGTGCTTTCTGGACATCTACTGATTTGCATTGTAGGGCATATTTGCTGTCTGCGTGCCGCAGATGTGTTGCATCAATGTCAGCTTTGCAAATAACTCGGAACATATCAATTTCACTTTGATCCTCTTTGACTAAGGTAGTGGTAGTGGTAGTGGTAGAGGGAAAATATGACTGACGTTAAGATCAGAACGCAAGACATTTTGTGTTATATGTTGCAGCCAGGTGGTTGCCCTCAAAAACCGGAAATTCTTTTCTTTAAAACGTCTAGTGAATCAGGGGTTGAGTTGGCACCAGAAATTAAAAGCGAAAATATTGACCTCGAAATTATTGCCGCAACATTTGTACTCTCCGGTCCGGTAAACCTAAGCCGTTTGCTGCAGGGTAGAGTAGCTGTCCGCTGGGTGGCTTTAGCTGAATCCTGCATGTCAATTGCCACGAAACGATTCAATGTAAAATTTTAACTTTACCATAAGTAAAATAATACGGTTAGTAAACTGCACCGTAAGTAATAAGTGTTATCATAAGTTGTGGAAAAAGTACCGTCAGAAACTCGATGTAATGGGCATAAATACGCTCATGTGAACTGTAGGAAACTCGCGTATTGCTACCCATGATTACATCCTCGTTTCATAACGTGCAAGGCATGCGGTGCTCACCCACGACGCGCAGCTGCACGCGCCGGTTGGCGGTGGGCGAGTCGCGGAAGTCGACGCGGCACCGGAACTCGCCCTCGTCGGCGGCGCTCACGTTGGTGAGGCGCAGCGCGGACGAGGACGCCGGCGAGGACGCGGAGGACGGCGGCGGGGCGCCGCGCAGGAAGGCGCGCCCGCCCAGGTCGCCCAGGCCGCCCGGCGCGCCCGCCAGCGCCAGGTGCTCCGCCCGCGAACAGTTTCCCGGCACGCAGCGTCACGCTGCGAGCACACAATGAAACGACCTGCAACTGGCAAAAATAATTAAACGAGCACATCGGGGGGGGGGGGGGATGAAAAGGATGTGCGGAGGCGATGGGGCGGACGGCCTTGTCCAGCGACGTCTCATTTCAGGTGCTGAGGAGGCGAAAGACTGGGAGGGGAATGCGTCATGTCCGCGCCACGAAAGAAATTAAGAGTTTAAAAGGTCTGGTAGATGAGCATGCGCTTGGTTTCTAACGGCAATTTTGCCCTCTTCGGGTTTTTCCCTCAGTCAAAGTTTATTTTCCGCGGCTTGGAAGCGATGAAGAGACCATTTGAGGCGTATACCAGATTTCGAAAGGTTAGAACGCGCTAGGATGTAAGTATTCTAATGGCATAAAGGGCTTCAGTGTAGCCACATCAAGTTATTTAATTTATATGTGTAAAAATTACCTATCAAATTGTTTAAAAAAACCAACACACATTAACAGGTAGCAAGCAGTTTGCCATTGGGAAATACTATTCACGTCAACACGTTTCGTAAAACCTGGAAAGAGAAGACTATGGCGTAAAGAATAGATAGATCAGTGACAGCTTCCAGGCGCGCGCGATCATGCTGCAACACCCTACAACATAGTCACTAAGAGGCAGCAAGGAATTTTCAATTGAGAAATAATACTCACGTAAAAAGGTTTCGTAACAACTCAAGAGATCAGAAATAACATGAGAGAGACAGAGAGTGAGAGACAGACACACAGATAGAGAGAGACAGAGACAGTGAGAGACAGATTGACACAAAAACGGTGTCAATTGGAGAAAAATTCACACAAAAAAGTGCTACAACTTCTCATTATTTATCGAATTATTTATAACGGTTACGTAATACATCAACTACTAAGTTTAGCAATTTTCAAACATTCGCACAGCTTTTAATGAAAATTAAATTTGTTCAGTGTTCTTACAAGCATTAGCCTCAATTCGAGCAAAAAATTTAAAGGAAACAAATTATAAGCGGTTATTTATAACTTATAGCGGCACTTTTCTCTAGATACACAAAAATTTTAATGAAAACAATTGTTGAGAAAATATCCTGCAGGGTTCATTTAAAGTGCTTCCAAAAATTGAAAGAACAGTTTCACATTCACAGGTCTCCAGAACAGTAAAAGTATACGAAGCCTTGAAAAATAATCTTCTATGTTTTTTGAACTTCAAAACCCCACCCTACTTTTTTACTGATTTTTATTATGAACAAAGGTACCAAAGAGCGTGGTTAACAACACTCAAATTCTAGATTTAATTTCCAAAGAATAGAAACACTCGCATTGGCAAGCGAACTACATATTTGATTTGACCATTACAAAAAAAAAACAATACCCTAAAGGTTTTAAACTCAACTCTCAAATTTTCAAAGACATTGTGTGTATTGATCAGTTATGATTTACATACGATATGCTGAATCAATAATATATACTTCGGAGTTGGTGCTTTATAGCACAATCACGAATTGCTTGTCATGATTATTTTAAGCGGTATGAGTAATGCAAATATTCATCAACTCAACCATTATCTTCAAATTGTGCCAACAAATGAACATAAAAACGTATTTATTCTATTGGTTTAATCCTGTAAAGGATCTTCATTTTTATCATTTCTTAAAATACGCGGGCCGACGTGCATAGTGTTGAAATTTGTTTGGTTAAACGCTACTGTTCAGGGTTATTGGTGTTTCTTTACCGTGTATATTCCACATGTGGCGCCTGCGTTCTGGATATGCGGACATACGTGACAGGAATAACATTCGAGACATGTATGGAACTAATTTCATGCGTGTTGCGCCAATGAATTTATACAGAGGCAACGTGTGATGAAGCGTGCATGTGTGAGTAGAGAGAAAAATCGGACAGCTAACACAAAAATCAACACGGCAAAAAAACATTATTACGAGTACACCCCCAAGTACTCCAGTAATAATGCAAATCATTGTTTCCCAGAGGACCACCCAGAGGGCAAATCGTATGACTTGCATTCTCACTACGACTGTCAAAATTTCGATATGTAATTTGCGGGACTGTTTCCATTTAAAAAGGAAATTAATACTTCATGCACTCATCGTAAAAAGGCGAATTGACGTATACGTCAAATAGACGATTTCACCCTCAATGGGGATAATTCCGCTTTGAATACACCAACCAGCATATTCGCCGAAACAGACATCGAAATTTACTTGGTCTGCCTGTCCTGTTAAACACCCGCCAGTCTGCAAAAAGTCTCCTAAAAATTATTGCTGACTATTTAAGACTATTAATCGGACTCTCGCGTGTGGCGCAGTTGCTTGGAACATACGCAGTCCAAGGCTGTAGGTGAAAGTCCCGCGCAAGGCGTAGGCGTTATTCGTAAGAGCGCATTCTTAGGCCGCATCTAATATTTTTCTTCTCGTTGTATTTATTTCACTCTGGTGAAGAAGCCGAGATGAAGTCTTCGGAATTGTAGGCTCTAAAATTTATTTAAGAGCTTAAAACATGCTCGTCAATTAAAAAAGGTGAGTATAAGTCTTATAGTATCTTAGACCGAGTATAAATTGAGATAAAAGTAACCTGTGACAATTTTTTTTATTGATTTCATGCTTTTTTATTGCCATTATTAATTAAGCACTATGACACAAGAATCATAGAAGCAATGAAAATTGCTGTCTACATTTCAAGAGAGATGCCATTTGCAGTGTTTTGAAAATTATTGCATATTGCTGTACTTTAATAAAAATAATGATTCTTTATTTGTTTGGTGGTTATTCCCTGGTATCTGTTTCCATGTTTGACAAATATGACTTGTTCGTGAGTTGTAAAAGAATTGAATTTGACTCAATTGTCAGATTTTTATCGCTTTTCAGTATTCTCAGACTAAAAAGCCATTTCCAGAATAAAATTCACTCGCAAACAAAGAACAGGAACGTATTTACAATAAGTAAAATGGTTAATCCTATTTTGACACTCCAGATCATGGTAAGCTTTAATGTCCGAGAGTGTTCCTACGAAATAAAACTACTGAAGACAAATAAATTGTAGTTTGAAATAATCACTAGAAATAAGACATACTGAAATTGCATGCAATGGTGTTCTGAACATATAAATAATAATAATAATAATAATAATAATAATAATAATAATAATAATAATAAGCTAATATAATTCAATATTTTCTTCACAATCAGAAAATCTAACCTCACTTCCTCACTGAAGGTAGAAACATTTTTGTTAACGCAAAAGGCAGGGTGAACACTAAACCGCCCTCGAATACAGGCCTATAAACCTGCCCTTCAAACTTTTTACAAAACTCATAACATCTGTGTTTCGCAAATGATGATGACACACATTGAGGAACAGAACATCTAGCAAATGAACAGAAAAGGATTAGACCTGGATCTCAGGGCTGCAAGGAGCAATCTCATTAGTAGACTCTGTATTAGGGGCAACTATGCTTGAAAAACAAAGAATTGTACCCATGCTACATAGATTAACGCTAAGCATTCGACGTACCGTGCCCCATTCTTGGCTTCCTTCAATGTTTGGAATGTATACAAGGTCCACCCGTTTATCGCAAAACTTCCTGAAACTGCGTGAGTCGATGGAATACAAAACTGTATCTCTTAATGGAAAACAATCCGTTCCACACAGATACTATACACATCCAGCAGAGGGATATCAGGGTGACTCTTAAGCCCTTTATTGTTCTGTTTACCTTGAATCCTCTCTACTCTACTTAATTCATCTTATTATGGATATCGCCTTAAAAAAGGGGAACTCAACTCTTCTTCGTGTCTCACATCTCCTTTACATGGAATTGTCCCTGAAGCTCTATGCAGACACTGAGAGTCATATGCCGGAAACTAATAAACGTGACGGAGAAGTTCAACTGACGACATTAAGATGAAATTCGGTTTGGATAAGTGCAGGAGAGTGAATATCATTCGCGGTCATATGCAAGTTATAAATTGGAAACTGATAATGAACCAATGATTACCTTCATGGAACCCCATGAAACTTCACAAATACTTGGGTTTCCAAACAGTCAGCTCCGAATCAAACAGCAACTGTTACTAGAATATACTAACAAATGAAAGTGTGTAAACCGATTGCATGGAACTCTTAAAAACTAACTCTCTGCTAGAAACCTTAGTTGCAGGCCATCAATTCATTTGTTTATTCCAGTGCTGACATACTCCTTTGGCGTTATTAAAATGGAGCCAATACCGACCTGACACCCTCCAGAGAACAATTCGAACCGCTATGACTCAACACCGAAAACAACATCCCATTCAAGTACTGAAGCGTATTTACCCTTTCCAAAGGTTCGCAAAAGGAGGGCGAGGTATTGTAGATCTTCAATAAATCTACACAGCTCTCAACTTGCTTCATGCTCAGAAGATACGTTCTTGGAACATTGTGGAAGCGTTTCAGCAAGCAGTGAGTGCAGTTGATAATATAGTCCTCTGAACTTGAAAAATGCTGATCCGCCTGTTCAACCAATCATTGGAAACGGAAGAGAATATAACCTTATGGAAAGAAAGGCACTGCAATGGGAAGGTACCCTCACGAGCTGAGTAACCAGAAGTTCGACATCTCTGCGTCGCACGCATAGGCTCCAGCCGGGGATCTCTTTCCGGAGACAAAGCCTTCAATGATAGCTATCCAGGACCAAGTGGTACCTCATTGAAAAATCGGAAAACACATTCTGAGAGATTCTACCATTTCATATCCGCACTCGTGTAGAAGATGTGAGGCTGCAAAGCGAAACTATCCACACGTAACAATGGATTAGCAGCCCGCACAAGGTTTGGTTTGGGGGGAAAAAAATTACAAAAAAGAAGGGCATGAAAAAAAAAAAATGAAAGTGGCGAAGCAGGTACACCAATTATTGGCGTTGAAGCGGGCTTTTACCTCGCCACTTCCGTGCCGTACTTGTAAATATGTGCCTCAGAATGTGCTG